GGGTTTAGGGTTTGGGGTTCACAGTTGGGGTTTTGGGCTTAGAGTTGCGAGCTCAGGATCTTTGTTTTCGGGTCTCTTTTGGGACTCTAGCTTTTCAGGGTTCAGTTCAGGGTTGAGGGTCATAGGGGTTGAGGGTTATAGGACTCGGTGTTTAGGGCTTTAAGTTCAGGGGTTGCGAAAAGGAAGCCTGTCGGCGAATTTCCCTGGTTCTTACGCCGATAACGATGCTCAGACAGAATGCACTATTACGGAGTGGAATGAACGTCATGGGTTTGGGATGTGTTGTCATATGAGATGAGTTTTTTTTGTCTCTAGTGTTCCGTGTGCTACGAGTGTCAACTCTGCTGTTGAAAATCCTCGGCGGTTGAATGTTTGGGTCATTGCACCGGGATGCTGTCGCATACAAAGCCCAATGCACCAAGCCCTTGTGCCTCGCATGATAACGATTCGATCCCACAGGGTCAACCTTCAGACCATCGGCCCCAAAACCATGGTTGCACTTGGAGTGCAAGCTTGCGGTTTCGGTTTCGCGGGCAGTTTTGGGCGCACCGGAAAGTCGAGGCTTCAGGGTGAATGGTGTGGGGACATCAAAGGTTTCGGGTTCCCAATGAACCGTTCAGAGTTCCAATTTCATGAAGAACGATCAACGCAGCGTAGAGTTCATGGTCCATGCAGGGGTTGAACCAAACATCGTCTTGCCAGGGTCAGGACAAGTCGAACCAGGAGCTCAGGTTGTTGGACGAGTATGCCGCCGGGGCCTTGGCGAGCTACTCCTGGCGGCCTCCCAGAGAACCTTCAAATGAGGGTGGTCCTAAACCCTAAACCCTAAAGAGGGTGGTAGACCCTGAACCTCTTAAAGCCTAGTGGGCAGCCGAACCGGAGCACTGACCCCCGTCGGAGTCGGTCACCCGTCCATGCTCCGAAAAGCACAGCGCAAGCTGTTACTCGGCAGAGTGTTTGGGGTTCAGGGTTTAGGGGGTACTCATCACAGTAACATGATGATGACCTATGCACGGCAATCATTTCTAGTTGTGGTGTGCAGCGGTGTCGTCGTCGGGTCTGTGGGACCCCTGATGTCCTTACAAGCCCAAAAGGCCCAAAGAGCTGTAACACGTTATTCAGGGCACTCTTTTCGTTCCCCCGAGGTCGGTCGTCCGCCTCGAACCCCAAACTCAACTCGAATGCCCCCTGCCCGGACCCGTTCCCAATGAAATCCTTAAGACCCCAAGCCTCAAAGCATAGGGGCCTGAACAGTTCTCAATCTTCTCCATGGGGTTCCCTACTGTAGTCATACTACACTATTCCCCCAAACCCGATTCTCAATCTAAGCCCGAGAGCCTTTGATATCCAAGGTCGGTCAGACACTAGGCGAGGGAGCCTTTGGTGTGGTCTCTGTGTGGGCCTCAGAGACCCGCTGGCTTCCTCTTTCTTGTGGTTTTTAGTGGGGCTTAGGGGTTTGGGGGTTCACCCCAAAGGGGGGGGGGCAACTTCTGAGTGTCGGGGCCTTTGGAGGGTGGGGGCATGTGTAAGGTAGAGGTAACGTTGAGCGGAGGGGCCTAGTTGTTTGGTGAGAGCCCCTTCACATCTACGGAGTGAGCTGGGGCAGTAGGATTCGGCTAGGCTTTCTCCTTAAGTGGTACCTGGACCTTCAGCCCGGATACCCCAAACCCTGGAACCCTGCAAGCCCTTAAGAACTCGCCGTTGTTTGGGGCCGGAGCTTTGGGTCTTGAGCCCTAGATCCTGAGCACTTGATCTTCCACTTTGCCGGAGCTCACCTGGACCTGAAATCCTGAAACATTAGGGATTTAGGGTTTAGGGTTT